AACTTCTTTTGTTTTCCTGATTCGTCTTTCTGGGCGGCTGACCTCATAATCTTGAAAAATGGTAGGCACTTATCTGCCGACTTCGATATGAACCGATGGAAAGCTGCCACCCTTCCAGTCAACCTCTGTATATCTTTCTCTGATTTCGGCGGTTCCATCTCAGCAATTGCTCTGATCTTCTCTAGATTGACCTCAATCCCTCTTCGGGACACCATGAAACCTAGAAACTTTCTAGACTCCACGCCGAAGATGCATTTGGCTAGGTTTAACCACATTCTATTCTTTCGGAGGTTATTGAAAGTCTCGTCGAGATCAGCTAGGTGGTCTTCTGCTTTCAGGCTCTTTACCACAATGTCATCGACATAAACTTCCAAATTCCTGTCGATCTGAGCTTGGAAGACGATGGTCACCATTTTCTGATAAGTAGCACCTGCGTTCTTTAAACCAAACGGCATCATGACATAGCAATAAATTTCATCGCCAACATAGAACGAGGTTTTCTCTTCGTCTTCTGGAGCCATCGGCATCTGGTGATACCCCGAATATGCATCCAAGAGACTTAACCTTTCATTGCCTAAAGCCACTTCAACTAATTTGTCAATGCTCGGCATTGGATAGCAATCCTTGGGGCAAGCTTGGTTAAGATTTGTGTAATCGATGCACATTCATCATTTACCATTTGCCTTCTTCACCAGGACTGGGTTAGCCACCCATTCGCAGTAATCAACTTTTTTGACAAAACCAGCTTGTAGAAGTTTCTCTACCTCTTCTTTAATAGCCTGAAGCCTCTCCCCCCCAGAAGAGACGTCGCTTCTGGGCCACTGGTTTCTTCAATGGATTGGTGCTGATCTTATGTTGAGATACTGAATTTGGAATTCCTAGCATGTCTGTCGAAGTCCATGCGAATACATCATTGTTAGCTCGGAGAAAAGCTATTAGCTTTTCTCTTTCCTCCAGGTTAATCTAATTTCGATTTGCATCTTTCGGCTCGGGTCTCTGTCATCAATGAGCACTTCTTCAACATCTTCAACTGGAGCAGCTCTGGTTTCATCTTCCGGTCGATTATCTACTATCTCAACACCCATAACTTGTTGATTATTAGGAATTCGTTGAGGGACGGCCTCGGGTGTTTGATCTTTGCCTTTCTTAGGTTGTGTTACTGATGTAATATAGCAATGTCTAGCCACCTCCTGGTTGTCTCGCAGTGTGTCTATTCCCATAGGCCTATGGGAACTTCATGCAGAGGTGAGACTGGGAAACCACAGCTCGGATTTCAGTCAGTGTGGGTCAACCAATAACAACGTTGAAAGAGGACGCCATCTTAACAACGAGGAACCGGACTGAAGGAGTCACATAGGTTCGGCCACTCCCAAAAGCAACATGAGGGTAAGAACTCCTTTTACCTGAACAGGCTAGTTGTTGAAACCATAGATGGGACCATCATATTTCTGCAACAATGCTGGATCTAGTCCAAGCCTCTCAAAACAGTGGAAGTACATGATGTCTGGTGCACTCCGGGTGTCAACAAGGACACGCTGTACTTCACAGTTGTTAATCATGATAGATGTGACCAAAGGATCATTGTGGGATATAACAACTATGTCGAAATCAGTAGGTGTGAAAGTAATGGGTTGATTCTTCCAGTCAACGTCGTCAAACTTCCGTTTCTGAGCTCAGTTTTGATGCTTAACTTTTCTGACATACAACTTTCGTTGTTTAGAGCTCAATCCACCTGCTTCTAGGCCTCCCGTAACCATGTGCATGATTCTAGCTGGTGGTGGGAGCAGAGGTGGGGCTTGCTGATATCCCATAACTTGTCTGTTTGGTGGATTGCGGACGCCTTGAGGTTGTGGCCTCTGTTCTCTGACAAACCTTGGCTGTTCAGCTCTCTGAATGTACTTATTCAACATTCCCTTCTAAGCTAGACTTTCCAGTTTGGACCTTAAGCTGTTACATTGCTCTGTTGTATGGCCGTGATCTTGATGAAAATCACAATATCTAGTATGATCTCGGCTAACTGCAGGAGTTCTCATTGGGCTAGGATGCCTTAAATCCATTTTGTTCTTAATCTGCATGAAAATTTGTGATCTCGATAGATTAAAAGGAGTCCAAGTAACTAGGGGTTTACCAGGAGACTGTTGTGGAGATGCTGAGTTCGGCCTTTCGAATCTCAGTGTGGAGGTCGGCATCAAACCTCGATTCTGTGTCATCCTCAACCTTTTCCTACTCAGATTCTCATCTCTCTAGTCTGAACTTTGGTTCTTAGAAGGGGTTGGGTTTTGCGCCATGGCATATTCCTTAGCAGTTATAAATTTCAAAGACTTATCGTTCACCTCGCTAAAGGTGGTGGTAGGATGTTTGATCAAACTGTCTCTGAACCTATCATGTTTAAGACCTGAGATCACAGCTGCAATGCCCACAGCCTGGTCAAAGGTACTGACCTCCAACACTGCATCGTTGAACCTGCTCATGTAGTTCTTCAAAGATTCTTCATCCCTCTGTTTAACTCGCATCAACTCAGAAGTAGTTTTCCTAATCAACCTTCTACTGGAAAACTTAGTGGCAAAAGCAGATGCCATTTTTGTAAAAGAGCTAATTGACCTCAAAGGTAGATTGTAATACCAAGTTCAAGCATTACCTCAGAGAGTAGAGGGAAAGATTTTGCACATCAACGCGTCAGAGGCGTTTTGAGCTTTCATGCAAGAGTAGAAAGCATGTAGGTGATCATCGGGATCCTTCGTCCCATAAGTCTCTAGTTGTGGTATTTTGAAGCCAGCAGGATAGGGTTCCAGTGTAATGTTGGTATTCAGAGGGTGAGGTATGGAGTTAGCAGCATGGTGTGGAGGTGGGGCACCTTGCTGTTCAGCTACTAGCTTTTCTAAGCTATCGAGGCATCGAGTGACATCATCAGGGAGGGGTTGCTGAGTTGGTGCGATATGGGATTGACCCTGAGATTCACTAAGAGCAGG